ATCTATCTATCTATCTATCTATCTATCTATCTATCTATCTATCTATCTATCTATCTATCTATCTAGTGTATTTCATTTCCAGAAGCTTTTGCAACATCTCCAGGAATTCCCAAGGAATATCTTTAAAAACCAAGTTAAACAAAAATGGGTGATTTCCTCCTGATGCAATCACAAGCTTGAAATGAAAAATATTTTTTTTTCTGGATGGCAGCACTGAAAGACTTGCTGTGATCTCATTAATTCCCACTCTGCCTCCCAAGTGATTCAATTTGCATTTTAAAAGGAACAGTGCTAAACACAAAGTTATTTTTAAATCATGTATGTGGATACTACATTCATCTTCCCTATTCATATGTACATACTACAGTATAGTGAGAGAACATATCCTCTTGTATTGCTTCTGCTTTCATTTTTAAAAGCCATTGAAAAAAAAATTCAACAAAAATGTGGAAGCTTTTAAAACCTCTGCTTTCATTCTTCGGCTCTTAGCACTTCAGTTCACTTGGGCAAGGGCTGAATAGTGTTCAGGCAATAACAGCAAAGGAATCCAGAATAGAATATATGGAGCTAGTTTCTATGGCTGTGGCCTCACATTTATCCCATTTCACAGCCTCTGCACATTGCCTACTGCTCACACTGGTTTAAATCTGAAAGTATGTTACACTCTGAAAAGTTGAAAAGTTTCTTTTGAAAAACAAGTAATTATTGACCTGCTTCTACGTAAGTTTAGGATCTGTTATTCCACATAGCGATTGTCCTAGGAATGCTTCCTCTGTGGGTGGACTATTCTGCTGCAACTTTGTGTGAGGTAGCAATGAAACATATGTACCAATCAGATTTCAAACAAACTCATAGCAAAATTGAATAATTTTCACTGGAGCATTTTTGGAAAGATAAAAGGGTCTGAACATTAAGCAATGCCACCAATTAACACATGATTTTCTACAGCCATGATGGCGAATCTATGGCTCCCGTGCCAGAGGGAGCACACAAGGAGGGCATCTCTCTGCTGGCACGCGTGCCATCTTCCCAGGTCAGATCTCCGTGACATTTCTTTCGCAAGCTTCTCTTTCCCTGCAAACGACGAAACAGAAGCTCATGAAAGAAAAGGATCCTTCCTCTTGCTGCGCTGCCGGTGTTGGGATGTCCCACTTCCCGCCGCGCAGCTGGTCTTCGGGTCTCTGCTGCACATGTGTGCATGCATGTGCGCATGTCTGTGCGTGTGCATATCCGTGCATATCCAGACGTCTGCACATATCTGTGCATGCACGCATTTGTGTGCACGTGCACCTTTCAGTTTGGGCATGCGTGCATGCGCAGTTTGAGCACTCAGTGTCTAAAGGTTTTGCCATCATTGTTCTAGGGCATATTTTGGCACTAGTCTTGATAGATATTTTGAGAAGGGCTCCACTCAATAGAAAAAAAGTGGAGAAATAACAAGACTGATTTACTGCATTTTGAAGAAAATATATTCACTGCCATCTGGGAGAGGGTTTTTTTGTAAGACCATTACATCTAGAGTTTAATATTTAACTTTAGCTAGTTGTACACCTAAAATATATTTTTAAATAGTTTATATTAAAGCAACATCACTTGAACTAAGCACCAGTGACAAAACAACAAGGTGAGCTCACAAACCTCTTTGAAGTTGTCAAAGGCAGCCAGAATAATGTCGTGTCCTCCTCGGACCAAGCAAACAGCAGCCAATAGCTCAAGGACAAGAGCTTTAGTTCTGCAATATGGGAGCAAAGATTTTACATTTTTCCAAAGAAACTGGAGTGTAAGAATGGAACAGGCAGACTTGGAAGAGAGTGAGGCCGACAGGCAGGCAGGCAGGCAGGCAGACTGATGGATGATTAGATTTGCATAACACATTAAGGCAAAGACAGCCAAACTACATTACAATTTTATGCAATGTGTGAATCTTTCTGTTGAATGGAGGTAAATTCCACATTCCTTACCACTAGTATACAATATTGTATTCTTTGTCCTAATATGAACTCAGATAATTGTTATTATAGTCAGAATACTATGAGATTTAAATAACTCACTGAGTTCCAGTAACTCACTCCATAAAACTAAATGAATGAATACTGAGAACAAGTCAGGATGCTTGGGGATTTTGTTTGCTTTGTATTGCAATCAGCACTGTGAAATGAAGCAACCTGCTCCACGCCTCTCAAATATCTGTGCCAACTTTAGATGCGACCCATTCTCAGCTCAAAATACATGCCATAGTGCATACAGAGTGCACATTCTTAGAAAATATATTGAAAAGTAATGTATTCTAGAAAACACTCATTTTATACCATATTTTAAAATAAAAGGAGTGTTTGATGCAGAAATGATATATGAATTCATCTCTGAAATTGACCTGGATAGCAATTGGCTAACACAACCCCTCAGATTAAGAAATATAACCATAAAGGAGGACAGAATTCCTACCTGGGATTCTTATTGTTGAGGCTGAGTGTGATCTCATTTACACAGGCAGGGTGGTTCATCACAAGGCTGAATCCAGACTAAGGGAAAAGTGAGAAAGTTAGCAGCCCAAATTAGCAGTTGAAGGTGAATCTAGATAACTGAAAGTAAAAGCACACACAAGCATGGCTCTTTGGTTACACAGAAATTCAAAGAATGTATATATATTTTAGCAAGCTAAGGCCATATGGACATGGTTGATTGTGGCAAGCCAAACTGCTGGTTACTCGTTTTCAAGTGATAGTTATGAACCTAACTTTTCTTTGCATAGACAGCTTTAAAATCACACATAAACACACACTTTCACATTTTAACCAAATTGTGCGTGATGTCATTTAACTGTAGCATATAAAAGTTTAAAAGGCCATGCAACTCTTTAAGACACCCAAGTCACATTTGATTAATGATCAAATATTGGGATATATAAACTCACAGCATTCCACCAATTCCCACAGCCATGTCTGATGGGAGTAACATTACTGGGCAACATCTTCCTTTCAAAAATAATAGTGCAAAATATCTGCCTACTTACTCAGAAGTCATTGCAGGCAGGTTGTGGAAATCTGCCTGTACTGTAAGGAAAACTCCAGCGTTTAAATTTATAATATGTTTGCTTTTAATAATTTTAATAATATGGTGTTTATGTCATTTTAATTTTTGATTGTGAGCTACCCAGTTTGATGTAAGATGAGCACTTGCATAAATGTTTTAAACCAATAAATAAATAAAATGGGGGTTCATCAAATCTAACACTGGCTTGCAACAAGCACCGCTGACAACTTACTGACATCACTGACAACAAGGGCTATTGAATTCTCCCTTCTCAATTTGTCTACTGTGGCCAACAACCAAATGCTTGTTATATGTCAATGGTTAAAAGCTCCATACAAACAGATCATTTCCTAATGACGGATAACAAAGTCCAACAATTTTGGAAAAACACTTGATTGCATCTTCTGTATTTTACACCCCATGATCTCAGAGAACTTCAAAACAATTAAACCCAGAATTCTAACATTAAAATATTAGGATTTTTCTGAGAATGCTTATAGCCACATTACTCCGAACACCTGATTTATGGGTCAATTGAGATAACATATTAGAAAACTGCCTAGTAATGGACATTGGTTTCTTCAGACTAGCTCTTCATATGGGAGTCTTTCTAGACCTACCTGAAAATATTGGGGATGGGTTTTCTTGTACGGTACATGTTTCATGGGTTTTTTCCTCTTTGCCTCTCTCTGATACCATGAATATATGTCCCTTCACACATCAATTCTGAAATCTAGTCACGTTTCAAAATTCCTTCCCAATGTTATATATGCGTTTCCCAAGTCATTTATTTCATACACATGGAAACTTTCACCTTTCTTATCCACTTCTTCCATTACCTGATAATTCATAATGGCACGGAGACACATGATGCACACATGAACATCATCCTTCTGGCTGACGATGCGTGAGTTCCGTAATGCCTTCCTGCTGTGTGCCGGATTGAATCTGGGGTAAAAATAAATTTAAAGTGAGGGAGGGGGGGAAAAACAGCTCAATGACCGTGAATGCCAATCTCATACAACAATCCAAAAGTATAAAGAATAGCATATGAGAAGAATTTGAAGGAGAGCAGCAGGAGTCAGTATTAGTAGCAGGTTAGTAGTTTAAATTTTCCTTTCCTTCTAAGTTTCCGGTACAAATAGCATCCAGGAATAACTATCCAGGAATAACCTTATCCAATCTGTTGTCCTGCAGCTGTGTTGCACTTTACTCCCTATAATCTCTAGCTGTGACTGACTGAACATTATAGAAGTTAAAGCCCAACATATCTGGAAGGCAACAAGATGGGAAATTCAGGCCTAGAGAATGCTGTCACCTGTGAAGACTTCCAGCCCAGTTTCCAGGGCATTGCTGCTTCCATATGATTAAGCCTGGAAAAGAAGCTCAAGAATGGAGCTGGCACGACTACAGAGAATCCTTTCATATGGATATGGTGGAAGGGCAATACTGAGGATGGATGCTGGTATCAGTTCTTCAGGTTCTGAAAAACTGACGGCTTTTTTGTTAGCCTTACGGAAGGTTTCTAGATGCCATGATTGAAGACAAGCCAGATGAAACTTAACGTTATTTTTGTGAAACTTCAGGCTCTTTTCATTGCTCAACATTCCCTAACCTCAACCTCTGTGCATCTCAGCCAATCCCCTAAGCTTCATGACAGTAGCAACAAAAAAACTAAAGCCAAAACAAACAAAAACCAAAAAACCCTTGGGATGACTATGAAAACAATGAGAATCTAAGCATGCAAATATCCCAGATTTTCAAGTGAACTGAACTTTTAGGGATGGATTGCCTTATTTGGGATATTTAAAATAGCAAACGTCCAGCCCTCAAGGTGCCCAATGTTCAGCTATCTGGAGTGCTTGTGCATGAACACACAGAAGTGAAAGGACGAGTGTGCCCTTGCCCAGCCACTCCTACGCCCCTCGGGCTGCATTTGTGGGGCAGAGGGTTCTCATCTCATGAAGTCTGGGAGAGGCTCACCGGGGTGAGTAAGAGTTGACAGGTGGCCTGGGCTTACAGTCCTGCTCGGTGCCAGGGGCGCTGGAGGAGGGGATGCTGGGGTGGACTTGTTGAAAGAATGTTTGGATCTGCTGGTTCAAATGGCAACACCTGAAGGAGGTGGAAGAATGCAACCCTGTAGGACAGGAGGGAAAAATAGGATGCTTCAGGTGGACGCCTCCCTTCCCCTCCCCCTCCCCAAGCATGGGGGAAAAGTGACAGTTTTTTGGGAATTACAGGGAGGGACATTTTACTGTCACTTGAAAAGCAATCTTGATACCCCTTTAGCAATTTTTTGGTAAATCCAGCAAAAGGAGCCCATTACTACCCATTTTTTCCAATGCAAGCCTACTTCTACATTTTGAGGTTTTCTCTATGGTATGGGCAGGAATGTTCTCTCCTGTAAATTGGGTGGCCCTGTATATCCCAAGTCTGGGGCTGGGAGGAAATTTGCCGGCAGGACTGAGAATCTCCCTTGGGTCAGTTAAGTCAGTTGTTCTCCAAGGTCAACACCATCCTATTCAGGATCAGGACCTTATGTAACAAAAAGGCTGATCAGTTATAGCATTCAGCCCATTGAATCACAAGGGCCAGCCCCTCCAGTCTTGAAGGAAGGTCTTGTATTGGTATCACTTCACTTCTGAAATGTAAGTAGACAGAAAGGCTTCTAATGCTGCATAGGAAGCCACATTAACAAAGCATGGAAGGGGGCTTTGGTGCACTCCCAAGAGATGCCAGGCCACCTTAATGCCTCAATATATGATTTTGCCTCTCAAAAATGAAAGCGAAAGAGAAAAGGCATACAGGTTTTTCATACACTGTGATCTAATAGATCACAGTGTTGAAACTCTCCAGAACTGATGACCCCAAACTACACATGTACTATATCCCATCAACTATTTTCCCCCTATCCAGGAAGACAACGTCTGGGTACCTACCATGAGGCATTTCCCCAATGGAAGCATGCAAAAGAAGTGTGAGGTTAGAATAAGGAGAAAGAAAAGGAGTTAGGACAGAGATGAGAGAAAGAAGAGAAAAAGAGAAACTGAATTTGCAAGTTTGTTGGAAAGTTAGCAGTTAACATGAACAGGCACCCATCTTCTCAGATTCGTCATTTAAAGCACTACTTTTGAGGTGATCATAAACGTGAAAAGTTTAGAAACTAGATTATGAGTGACTCCTTACTATTATTTTAGGTTGATTTACTTAATATAGTAATCATAGCATGCAAAAAATGTTTAAAAACTATCTAATTATAAGTTGGCTTTTTTCTAGACATTATTTTCTGGGGGGAAAAACCAGTGCATACTGTGTTCTTTGCATTGCCAGAGAAGTGGACTTTTAATTTCAAAACTAGAACTTGAAAAATGAGTAATCTCTTGAATATGAATATGAATATATATATGAATATATATATATATATATATATATATAATGTCACAACCCTTGGTATGCGAGGAAGCATACTGCTTCCTTTCTCTGTCTATTGGCTCATCTCAAGAGACCAACCAGACAGAAAGCCATTATTTTTACTGTTGCCTTTGTTACATTTGTGTTGCATTGTATATATATATATAATGTCACAACCCTTGGTATGCGAGGAAGCATACTGCTTCCTTTCTCTGTCTATTGGCTCATCTCAAGAGACCAACCAGACAGAAAGCCATTATTTTTACTGTTGCCTTTGTTACATTTGTGTTGCATTGTATATATATATATAAATCTGATGGGATCAGAGTTTTCAGTTTGAGTGCTAAGATGATCTGCAGAAGTTAAAAAAACAGAAAACAATCTGTGTGGAGCATTTCTTCATACTGTTCCCTAATGACCTCATTTTAATAAGCAATTAATCTCATTGTTCCATTTAAACTCAGAGCTACCTTAAATCCAAAATATTTCTGATTGTTTCAGATGAAGGTTCTGAGAGTCACCCTATACATATACATCTAATCAGCCTGCCATCCTTTGTCACTCATTTATTTCATTTGGCATCATTCTGGCGTGATATAAAAAGTATAAAGGTAGTGGCTTATACTAACTGAAATGGCCTCTGATTTCCATGGTGCTTATATTATAGTAAATGGTACTTTATAGCAAAGACTTTTTAACATGTGCCAAACCCTAAGACAGGGGTCCCCAACCCCTGGTCTATGGACTGGCACCAGTCCGCAGCATGTCAGAAACTGGGTTGTGCACACAAGGGAAGCCCCATATGTGGAGTGCAGGCAATGCACCAAACCACACCCTGTCTGGTCCACGGAAAAACCTTTCTCCACGGTGGCCAAAAGGTTGGGGGTTGCTGCCTAAGATTTAATTTGCTAGCTTTTGTATAACTTTCACATTTTATTTTCTAGAGCAGTTTGTTGTGCAGGGAAAATATAAAATGGGACTGCTTCTCTTCCTGTCCCATAGGCTTCATCTCAGTAGTGGGAAAGTTGTTTAAGAAAACCTACCCGGACTTCATTTGGTTACCTGACAGTCAAGTGCCTCGCTTTGATGGAACCCTGTGTGGGAGAGCAATTGCTTCTGCTGAGGTCCTCTACAGATCTGTCCAGGGCCTTTCCCTTGTCCGACCCAGGGCTCCCATTGTCAGTGCTGTCCATATCATACCTGGAGCCACACAGACAAACAATAATGTGCGTCAACAGGTGGGTGGGTGGGTGGGGTTTATTGAGGCTCTGGCAGGGAAATAGGAGAAAGGAGAACTGTTTTTCAGGGCATGACCGTTGTGTACATGTCAATAAATTCTCCTCTCTGTAAAGATTCACAACTCAGTGCTGAAATAAACATGGCTTAGGCTCCATTTTTGCTTTGGCAGCCTCAGAGCTGGGCCGCTATCCAAGGTGCTGAGCAAACTGTCTTCGTGTTTTTTTTATTTTGGTGTGTACAGACTTCCAGCTTCCATGATCGTCTTTCTCTTTTTAACTAGGTTCCTGAGTTCTACTAGACTGGCTGGATTCAGGCACAATGTTATAGGTGGAATAAGTGGAACAAGATGGAAAATAGGTGGCTTAGGAGGCGGAGTCATTACATACTTTACATGGAAGTTGGCTTCCACATAAATATAAATCTATATCTACATTACTTCAGATTAGGAATATTAGCAGCTTATTTTTTTTTAAATAAACTGTTAATTGCTTTATTGTTATAATTAATATTTAAAACCAATGAAATGTTGTCAAGAAATCATCAAACTAGCCCTTGAGTTACAACCATTTGTATAACAACAGTTCAACATTATGACAGTTTTGGAAAAAAAGTGATTAAAAGCCCGTCCTCAGACTTTCAACCACTGTATCACACATACACACCCTGCAGTCATGTGTGATCACAGTTTGAGCACTTGGCAACTGGCTGGCATTTATAACTGCAGCATTCTGCAGTCACTTGGGGTAAATGGATTGACAATCAAATTTCTCAATTTCATTTCCATTTTAAAAAAAAACCTAACTAGGGAAGCTGGATTTGCTTAATGACTGTGCGATTCACTTAATGATGTGATTCATTTAGAAATTGTGATATAAATGGTTGTAAAATCAGGTTGCTCATGTGATGATTTGCTTTATGACCTTCCCAATTTATGACAAACATTCTAGTTCCAATTGTAGTCATAAATCAAGGATTATCTGTACCACAAGGGATTTGGATCCAACTCATCTCGACAAGATATTGTTAAGATATGTTTACAGAGAGTCCTCAACTTACAACCATTCGTTTAGTGACTGTTCGAAGTTACAATGGCACTGACAAAAGTGGAATGACTATTTTTCACACTATCCCATGGTCACAGGATCAAAAACTCGACACTTGGCAGCTGACTCATATTTATGACAGTTTCAGTGTCCTGGGATCATGTGATCACCTTAACAATTGCAGTGATTCACTTAACAAATGTGGCAAGAAAGGTCATAAAATGTGGCAAAATTCACTTAACAAATATCTCACTTAGCATCAGAAATGTTGGGCTCAATTTTGGTCGTAAGTCAAGGACTGTCTATATTTTTCCTACAATATGCAATGATGCTTGCTTTTAGGTATGGGCCTGAAAAATGCAGGTGGCCAATTGTCTGCCGGCAGCAGCAGAAGAAAATTATGCTACATGAGCCTATATAATTGTTTCATTTGTAAACAATGCTTCCTTTATAACTCCTATCAAAGCTGGGCACATGAGATCAGTTGGGAGGGTGGCTTCTGTACCAGCCTCCTTACTGCATAGCAACCTCCCTGCTTGAACTGCTGGAAGGCATCTCAGGGCTGTCCGTGGAGATCTCAGGTTTGTGGTTTTGGACGGCTTCAATCTGCCATCCTTTCAAACTGCCTCAGAGGCAGCTCAGAGTTCATGGCTGCTGTGGCAGGTCACCCAAGCCCACCTCACTATTGGAGTCACGCTCCAGATGATATTTTCTTGCTGGAGCAGTGGCAATGTGATCTGGCAGGGAATTCTTCATTATTTCCATGTCACGGTCAGGCCATACCCGGTAGCTGTGAGATTTTCCAATGCTCCCCTCCATGCAGGGAGGCAGGACCTATTTGAATGGTCTGCCCCCACTGATTAATAGACCCACAAAGGTTTCAGAAGGAGCTGGGGGACATCCTGGGGGTTCTGCCGCTTGGCCCAGGGGAGGCCTTGGCTGCAACTTGGAATCAGAAAGTGGCTGAGGCCCTGGACAGGATTATACCCGTGCACATTCTCCTGACCCAATAGTCCCAAAACTTCCTGTGGTTTATGAAGGAGCTGAGGGTGCTGAAAAGAGACAAAAGATAGCTAGAGCACTGCTGGAGGAAAACTAAGAATGAAGCTGACTGGATACAGAGTAGGGCCACAATTAAGGCCTGCCTCATGGCAGTAAGAGTGGCGAAACATTGCTATTTCTCCAGTCTTATTGCATTTGCAGAGTGTTGCCAACAGCCTTGTTCAAATGAGAAGCTTCGATAATCATTTATAGGGCCATGCAGAGGAATTTGTTGAACATGTAATGAACAAAATCACTCAGATCCGTTCTCAGTTTGAATCCAAGTGTGGAGCATGTCCATTGGAGATGCCTGGGAAATGGACTTCCCAAATTATCTGGAATGGTTTGATCCTATTGGATCTGAGGAACTGGACAGGATCTTTGGGGCTCTTAAGGCAACTACTTGCTTATTAGATCCCTCTTGCTTGGTGAAAACTTCCAAAATGGTGACCGGCAAATGGGTCCAAGCCAGAGGTGGGTTGCTCCCGGTTCGGCCCGGATTGGGCAAAATGGTAGTAGTGACGGTAGGAGGCTCTACCCACCTGCCTGGATGATTCTGCACATATGCAGAAGTGTTGCGCGCATGCACAAGCATGCATGTGTGAGCAAACTGGTAGTAAAAAAAAATGGAAATCCACCACTGGTCCAAGTGGGTTTAACATATCAGTGCAAGGTAAAGTGTTTCCAGCACCATTAAAGGAGACCTTAGTGTGGCACCTCCTTAAGAAGCTGTCATTGAACCCAAGTTCTTTGGACAACTTTCATCCAGTTTCTCACCTTCCCTAGAAAGGGAAAAAGTGGTTGCCTTGCAGCTCTAAAGGGTCTTGGATGAAATGGTTTACCTGGATCCTTTTCACTCAGATTTCAGGTTGGGTCATGTGATGGAAATGGGATTGGTCACATTTGTGGATGATCTCAAGTGAGAGCAGCATGGGAGTTGGTCATTCTGCAGGTTTCAAAACCATTAACCACAGTATCCTTTTGGCCATCTATGAGCTTTGGGGCTAATTGGCACTGTATTGCGCTGGTTCAGCTCCTTCCTCCAAGGTCAGTCCCAATAGATGTTAATAGGCAGCAAGATGTACTTGGTACACTCCTTTTTAACATTTACATGGGTAAAATCATCCAACCCCATGGGATGAGATATCATCAGTATATGCATCACCATGATGCAGCTTTACATACTCCATCCACTGGTGATCCAAATGATGCTGTGGCCATCCTTTCTCAGTGCCCGGAGGCTCTAGGGATCCAAATGCAGGACAACAGGCTTCAGCTTAACCCAGGCAAGATGGAATGGATGTGGGTGCAAGGGACTTCCAAATCCAATGGTTTATCATTGTTAACTCTGGATAGGATTGTATTACCTCAGACAGGTCCGGTGGGAAATTTAAGACTCCTCCTATACTCATGACTCCTGCACAAAGAGCAGGTGATAGTTGGGCTAGGAGGGCCTTGTGTTATGCCCCAGTAGCACCCTTACCTGGACTGGGAGGCACTGAGCATGGTTACTATTGCCCTAATCATCTCTCAGATGGATTACTTCAACAGATTCTACATGGGACTGTCCTTGGAGAGTATTTGGAAGCTGCAGCTGGTATAGAATGTAGTGGTGCACACAGTCCTGGGAATTCCAAGACTGCACATATCACACCACTACTGTGTGAGTTGCGTGATTTTGCTTCTTGGTCCAATTCAAGGTGTTGGTTGCTACCTTTAAAGCCTTACATGGCTTGGATCCAGGGCATCTGAGGAGCCATCTTTCCCTGATGGGATAAGCTTGTGTCAGCAGAAGGAACCTGCTAGGGATTCTTTCTGCTAAGGAATTCCAGCAAGCAGGTTCAAGGAGAAGAGCCTTTTCCACTGTGGCCCCATGCTTGAGAACCACTCCCACCACAGGTGGGTTGCTGCCAGTTTTACTACCGGTTCACAACCCGCGAGCAATGCGTATTGTTCAATGTAAATTGCTCTTCGTGCATGCGCAGAACAATTTACAGTGAACTGCCCATGCGCAGTCACTAAAAACCAAAATGGTGGTGGCCCAGTGGCAGCGAAGGAACCAGTTCGGGGGCATGGCAGGCCTGGGCCGCTGTCAGTTCTGCAACCAGGCCTGAATTCCACTGAACCGGGCTGAACGGGAGCAACCCACCTCTGGCTCCCAACCTTTTGGCTTTGCTGGTTGGCCTGGGGCATTCAAGAGCTGGAGGTGGTTGAGAAGGTAAGAAGACCTCATCCCCCATCCTGTCCATCTCTTAGTTCTGGTTTTAATATACCTTCTGTAATTTTAATCTGTGAAGTTTTAGTGTTTTAATATTTTAATTATTTTTCTATTCTTTTATAACCTGTAAGCTGGCCAGAGTCACCTTATAGGGAAATGGGTAGCATAAAAATTTAATTAATAATAATAATAATACTTGGCCTTGAGGAAATAAACTGGTTGTAAGCTTGTGTTAGACTGACAGTCATTGTCAGAGAAGCAACCACTCATATCACTATGCCTTAAATCCTTTCATCACTCCTCAGTAAAGTTGTATGTGATTAAAATATATTTAATAGAAAAGGGGTTTTTTCTACTAAGTATTACATTTCCTTTAAAATAATTTACAGAGGGCCCATTTTAGTAAGACAAATGCGAGTCTATTAGCAGAAGCTCACACTTTCTTTTTCCCATTGGCTTCCTTAATATTAAAAAATAGCTTTTTCAGAACTGATATCTTGCAGAAGCCTCTTGAAATTAAGTAGAAGTTTGTAAAACCAGGCAAGGAATTACAAGTTTGCCACCTCTAGTTTCCTGTATCAGGAAGTAGGAGGGGGAAACTCTTATGGCTCCTATATGACTCATCTATCCTTATTTGGGAGCACAATTTCAACAAAACAGTGAACACTCTTATTAGTGAAACTTTATATTTCTCTTGATGATTCTTTCTTGACATAGTTGGAACTGATATTAACCTATATTAGAAATGTTTTTCCAATTGTTGCGTTGCAATTCCAAACTTAAAACTAGAAGAAAACTATGTGATGGGAAATCTTGCTTTCCTGTGCCTTTCCTATGTGGTTTGGGCCCAAACAGTTATTATCACCTTTCTTGTTATCAACAAGTTTGCAAGCTATTTTGTTTGAGGTTTAATATGTATTGTAATTGTTTTGGGTCAACTGATTCATTGGAAAGTTAATTCCTGACATAGAGTTATTTCACAGGGATGAGACAAGAGTTGAATGAGTATATAATCTTGGATAGGTTTCACTAGGTAGAATTCCCTTCTAAAAGGATAATCTGATACCCCAGTTCATGCATATGTATATACAGACAAAATGTAATGTATGTCCAATTCTCAAAAGGTCATGGACATTATTTCTGTGAGGTCAAGGAGCCTTTAGATTCTTTCTCCACTAAACAGGATAGCAGGCTTCTCCTGAACATAACCTCAAAATTCCTTTGGTAATGTTTCAAGCAGTTTATAATTAAATAAGGAACTTAATTGATTTAATTCTCTCTAATCAATATCAAACCTACCTAGAGAGTGATACTACTGAGATAAAGCAGCTACTGGCATCCTTATATCATTGGTTGCCCAGGCTTGAGTTCCCTGCACAATTGGATCAAGCAACTCCTGATTTTAAAGCTATGTTTATGACAGAAGTTTCATCACCATTCTGCTTTGTTCCTTATTATTACTTTTAGTTAACAACAATGAACTTACGTGACAGAGCACTGGGCAAAAGCAAGATAATCCACCAACACATCAAGACCTCTATTCTCTTCATTTAGGAACTCCTGGACCCAACTGTGGAGAGGAGAAAACATACATGAATTTACTCTCCCTTGAATGAAAGAAGGTAGCACATTTGCTTCTCTCTCAGCCTGGAACTTCTCCAGGACATTTGCTTCCAATAGAAGCATGAAGCTCAGGGCTGAACTACGGAGTGCTTGGTGCTGTTTGAGCTTGCAAATGTTTTGGCTAGGTAACATCTTCAGCGCTACAAAGGATTTGTTCTCTGTTTACATACAATAACTTGGTAGAAGCACTGTTTTGTCGATAGTTTCTTGATCAGGTTGTTTCTTAATGTTTGATTGTTTCTCTAAGTTGGTAGTTCTTTGATTAGAGTATTTACTGCTTATTTATCTAGTGTAAATCCCTGCTTATCTAGGTATTGAGTGGTGAAAGAGGTGTTCTGGTCTTTTTGAAGATAATCCCATAATTTCACTATATATGGACAGTCTTAATCACAGTTTCAATTGTAAAACTGAGCATCCTAAACCAGGATAAATCCAAAAATACTAGAGACTTCTTGGAAACTTGGCACTTAGACAACTCAGCCACCAACAGGCACATAGAGATAACCATTTACATGCCATTCAAAAGAGGCAATTGAAAAAAGCTAAAAGGGAAACAAAAACATCATAACACCAATCCTCACCAATCAACACCCCAGATAAGCAGAGGTTTACACTATATAAATGATCAAGTCAGAAAGAATATCCTAACCAAGGAACTATCCAGGAGAAATCAAAAACCCCATCAATGGGAGCAAGCTATCACATATAAACAGAAAGCAAACACCACTCTCTTCTAGCAGTGAAGATGTTACTTAAGCAGTAATGAAATGCCTGCAAGGAAACAATCAAGCTCAGAAAGTACCAAAGATTCTATAGTAGAGAATATTGCTTACACATATTTTTTTACTAATCAAAGGTTCTTCAGCTGTATATTGTAACTACCATAATTCTTTGCTAACATTTGAAGGACAGAAATTTGAGAAAGCCGAGTCCTAGCATTCATCTTTAAGTGTTTTCACTGTTAATTAACATGCTATATCAAATTTTGTGTGCATTAGTATCTTATTTCATTTTTCTTAACAAATGTACTGCAAGTTATATTTGTTGTGTTGTAATCCTATATTCTATCTGCCTTGCATTAAAACAAAGAAACTTAAGTGAAGATTCTTCTGCATTGGTATAGGATAGGTCCAAATTATCCTAGATGGGAGCACTTTAGATTAAACATCTAGTATGCTCTATGACGTATTACACTCGTAGAAAAATTAGATATCTTTCCTTGATATTCTAGCTTTGAAGCTGCATAGAACATCAATTATACTGGCACATTTTTAGCTTATAATTAGCCATTTAATCACCTGCCTGGAAAGAACAAAAGTGCCTTTATTTATTTATTTATTTATTTAATTGCTTACTTATTTATTTGTAATTGAGAAACAAAATGTTTCACCCTTTTAAACTGGCAATGTTCTACAAGAAAAAAATCTTATTTAAGGGCAAACGAACAAATGAACTAGCAAAAATTATGGTAGATAGAAACATGTTTTGACTTATTTGCAAGGATTCTGAAATTTCAGCACTAAGAAAGATGATCAATGAACTCATAAACTGAGGATAGACTTTGGAATTCAACTTCCAAGTTCACATATTATCCATTTCACCAACATTTTCAAGCATGAACTGAAATGTACATTTACGTAAATCACCAAAATTCTTGAACAATCATTCGGGTAAGTAGTGTACATTCCCAGAAAATCAAGTATTGGGAAGGACACATTCAATGATGCTGGCATGCCTTCTCTCCTGCCTATCCCCATCCTGCTCTTAGATCACCCTCATTTTTTGGTGTTACTCAAAATAATGTTACTTTTCCTCCATGAAAAATATTTATTTATACCAATGTTTTCAAATTTGGCAATTTTGAGTTCGTCAGCCAACTTGTGGAATTGAAGTCCACTCAGTTGCCAAGTTTGAAAAACAATGATTTATACTATGAACATTAAGATTGAACGACTGAATTTCTCATTTGCACAGAAAAAAAAGAGAGACAGGGGACTAAAATACATTTCAGTGCCTGAAATTCTAAAATGATGGAACTTGAGACTTTGCACCCGTGTCCATCTCCACCCAAAAATTCTGCTTACTTATCTCTTACAATATTTTTATATTCCAAACTTTTGTATTATGCAGTTTCTTTTGGGATGTGTTTTTAAATTAGTAGTAGTTAAGTAATAAAACTAAATATGGCACTATTCATATAATTAGCTATTGTGTGGATGGCTTCTTGAAATGCAAAAGCAGAGTGGTACCCTACTGTGACAGATGGAAGTCATTAATAGCTTGTCTACCATTAAGATCTTACTTCTATCCTGGATTTCAGCTCCCCCCCCCCCCATGAGCTTTCCATGCAGAAAATGGGAGCTATTTTTCACAGTGCAGACACAAGGGGGATCTAAACTGAGATGGTGCATAGCAAAGTATTACAGGATAGCTTGCCATCCCAACAAAGTGTGTGCAAGTATGTAACGGGTATATGTGCCTACAACCTACTTTTGTACAGATATATGTGCAATTCTAATTATACAGAGTACTTTCTTTATTAGTCTTTTCTAGTCTGGCCCAAGGTAGTACGAATTAGTACTATGCATCACTTGCAATCAAAGGGGAAAAGGTACTCAGTGCTATCATGTTGCACCTCGTTAATGTAGGTAATGTACAACAAATTGCAAATATGATACAAATGCAGGAGGAGGAGATTCTTTATTGGCCAAGTGTGATTGGAATTTGTCTCCTGTGCATAAACTCTCAATGTACATACTGTGAATTCCACTATGTCATGAGAAAATTATTTAGTACCATTTCTCCTGGGCTGCATTGCCTCTCCTGGTGCCCAGGTCCTATATCTCAGTCTAATGTGTAATTTGTTTTGTCTTTTACACTGTCTTGGGCTTGACGGTATCTTTGATCATAAAATGCTGACAAAACTTGGGCTTGTTGGCTTCCCTTTTATCTCCCCACTGCTTGGCAGGCAGTTGGTCCAGAGAGATAAATGCTTTCTCATTCAAGCTGTTAATTAGCCTGCATACATCACTGTCCTTAATGGTGTTGGCTGCTGCCTCCAATATGCTGGGGTCACCTTCTCTACACAGGGCCAAGGCCTTTGCTGCAAACCTCAGAGGAAAAGAGTGGGGTGGAGTTCTTAGCTTAGCTCCCGGCAAAAGAAATTAGTCAGTTAACCAGATTAACCTCAACTGAGGCTGATGTTCATTTTAACGATTAAAATGTAACATCACCCAGACAATCCTTAACACATTTTTCATTTCCCTGGTGTTTCAGCAGATGGCAAACAAGTGAGAAATGAATTAATTCTGTTCTCCTTTGTCTTGGTTTCCTCTCTTCAGTCATTAATTTATTCGTTCCAAAAAATAAGACACCAAAGGAGGAATAAGTTGGTGTAGAATTACTAGTTGAAGGATTGGAAAAGAAAATGCAAGACTGAACCATAGGACAGGGAACTGCAGTCAATAAATTCAGTTTAGCTTCTTTCATAAGTTCCCAGCTTGGCCCTGATTCCAAAGGTCCTATTGATATTATGTACTGCATTTATCTTCTTCCCATTCAATAGTCACAAGCAAAAAAATCGCCGCACTTCCCCTTATTACACTAATTGTTCATTCCAAACACAGGTAGAGAATCTCTAGGCATTCTTGCCTACTTCAAGGCTGAGAAAGAGAGGATCAAGGCTGGGTTTATCTCCTTTCAAGGGTCACTTCCCCACTTCACAGGCACTTTCTAGGTCAAAACAGATTGTATGAAATAGTTCTTATAAAAGCCAGAGATAAGAATTTAATGAGCTTGAAGTTCAATGCATATGAAGTCATCAGTAGCAACAGCAAGGAGACATTATCTATCACAAATTATACCAAGCCATAGTTTCTTGATTAAGTAAAAAATAACATTATACCCCTAGTGATGGGCTCACAAACTGCATTCTAAATTGGAAACCAACGAAGGCATATTATGTGTAATATGTGCATTCCAGCATTGTTATAATCAATTTAATTTCTTTTAGTTCAGCATTTCAGATATACTACAAAGGAAACTTTATTTATTCATTCCTTAGATTGATATGCTCCTCCACCCCAGAGGATCTCAGTGGCTAACAACAAGAAACTTCATTTTAAAATGTCTTCAATAAAAATGATACTCTCCCACTTCGTTAGAAATCTCATCAGCATCATAAAGGATTAAAAATAGATATGCAAAGTCATGTGTATGCATTCTGACATTCAAAGCATTTGTTCCTCCTGATTTAGATGGCAAGGCCAGCTCTTAACTTCTCAGCTACAACTCAGGAAGGAATCTCGATATGGAGAGGATTCCATAAACTGGGGCAGTGACTGGAAATACTTCTTTCCTAGATCTCATCAGATGATAGATTGGCTGGATCTGAAGTTGACCCTGTTCGATATGATTTGACAGATAAATGAATATTGGATATGTATAATCAAGTTATCTAGTATTCAGATAGCCTTATTCAAACTATTCATAATGAGGATTGGACCATTTACTTATTAATAACTATATTACTTATGTTGAAGTTTACAAATACAAAACCTAACTAAGAATTAAGAGTGTGCCAAAATTTCAAAAGGTGGGGGGGGGGGAGAGAACTATTAAAAAAATATGGAGTTAGTTACAGTAGCTATCAGACTATTGTGAGCAAAAATATATAAAACTTAGCTTTAAAGTTAATCTTAACAGAAAATAATTAGTTTGTTTTTTTATTTTACAATTTTTATTTGGTGTTGGGAATCATTTGATGAGATGAGTGGCTATACAAAATGAAGAAATTAAAAAATTTACTGGTCTTGTATCATTCAAAGATCCATTTCATTATTTACTGGTTACATTTGTATATTGCCTGATTCCCAACAACTCAGGAAGGTTAACAGGTAAAACATAGGAAACAAAAAGCAATAGTAGAAACGGGGAACAAATCAGCTCCAAAGCCTTCAAATTGCAAGCAATGCAATTGACTCAACAAGTAAAGCAGTAAGTCCAGAATGGCCAGTAGCAACATTAATCATTCAGTCTGGTAGTTGCCAGATATAATTCAAAAAGCCAGTGGTCTCAGAGCATATACTTTATTGATGAGCTGTGGGCAGTTTGCCAAAGACATTATTAGAACCCATAATTTTATTTGGACCCTACAATGCCTCTCCTGCTTAAGATCAGAACACCATTAATGCCATTGTTTGCAAAACTAAAATCAGACCTTCTGTATAAGCCCTGGGGATACCCCTGGGGATTAATCAATTTGCATGTCAAACCTGGAGAACAAATGACATAAAATGGCATTTTTCTGACTTTTCTACAAATATGGGTTTTTCTTCCTATCCAGAAACTAATCAGAAATTTGAGTATTTGAAGAAAAAGTTATAAATAGCTATTTAACAAGCAAGGGCCTTGTCTCATGGCTTTGAACTGTTGACATACTATATATTACAGACTCTAGTTTCAATTCCAATTTCTATTTAAATATGTGCTATACTGTCAAGCTGTCATTCTTATTGAGCCCTAAGAAAAGAGCAGGCCAAAAATGGAATGAAGGAAATAAGTATTAAAAACAATCACCCAGATTCTAAATACTCTCCACCCTCCCAGCTGTATCTGCAGTTGATAAATTCTCTGGAAGAACATCCAATCTACTTCAGGCCAAGGGCCATTATCTTCTGTGCCACGTCTTTGGTTACCCTGGACTAGTCCATCGGGAAAGTGAGATCTGTTGGATCAGTTTGTCCAGGAGCCTTATGGATCCTGTTGCTTCACAGAGAATGGTTGGGGAGTTCCCTAAGATTGTGGTGGGCCGTTAAACTGAGATTGCAGTCAATACTTGGAATGAATGGAGGATGATAGCCTTTCATTGGATTTCTCTTAAGTAGCAACTCAATCAATCCTAAATACCTCTTGGTTTACTGAGAAGCTCTAGGAAATGAAGCAACAGGAGAAACATCTATGACATTGTTGGATAAAAACAGGGAGCAACTCTGATTAGATATGTACAAGACTTTAGATTAAGGAGTATCTTATGGCAGTAATAGCAATAAAACATTTTTTCCACTCTTAGCATGTGCGCTACCCAATTGACCATATTCAGGGTAAGCTGTACTTTTCTGGAAAGGGAATGTCTTGATGAACATCTTAAAGAAAAGCTGTGAGGGTCGTGCTAGGTTTCTGATAGATACAATCACTTAGATTATTATTTCTGACTAAGTGAATCCTACTGAAGCTCTGTTATCTGGGAGGAATTTGAGCCTACCAGTCTTGAGGAATTGCATAAGGTTTTCTGAGCTGTGAGTGAAAGCCATTCAAAGCCAGTCATTAAAAATAGGTAAGATCAAGAAATAGAAACTGGATGGATTCCAAGAATACATTTTATTGCTATAGGGTAGAAGAATAGACTCCTGAAAGCCTGTCAGAGTTTCTCTCTGTTCTTTCTCTTTCTAAACAAGATCAAGGCAGGAATATTTTGAGTTTCTTTCTACTTTCTTAGGACTGAGTTATCTCTTGTTTTTTCTGTTATGATTTATTGTTCCTTTTCTCTTTTTGAAGCCAAATGCAGACCCTTGAGATCCATGTCCCTTCTGACTAATCAAAGCCACCTAGGAGATGACACATTGTTAGGTCCAGGTGGCAATGAATTTATCTTTGAAAGAGGCAGTGATATGCCCCTTCCTTGTCACTGGACCCAATTACAGTACGTATTTTTTCTCCAAACTTCCTTGAGGGAGGGAATCAAAGAGAATGGGCAGCAGTTCCAGGGAGCTTGGGGTAAGGAGATTGTGGAATATTGGATACTTCTCAGCAAGGTTTCAGACTGGAGTGTAGCAATGAGACAACTTGGTGGATGGTTTCTGGTGGGACTGTGGGTGATGTAATTCTCCTGCTCATCTTTGATCTTGATACCTCAGTGGCTTTTGATACCATTTATCATAGTAACACATGGACTAACTTTGGGAGTATTAGCACTATTTTATAGTAGTTCTTCTTGATTAAATAACCAATTGAAAGCTTGATCAATAGATATTTTGATAAGATAGAAAAATGTGGATTAGACAGCATCACCACCAGAAGGATTAGTAACTGGCTAACCAATCACACTCAACATTAGCCCTTAATGGAACTGCATCTACATGGAAGGAAGTATGTAGTGGGCTATTTCAAGGCTCTGTCTTAGGCCCAGTACTCTTCAATGTCTTCATAAATGATTTAGATGAGGGAATAGAAAGGGAACTAATCAAATTTGCAAATAAGCTGGCAGGAATAGCCAACATTCCAGGAAATGGGCTCAAGGTACAGATGGATCATTATAGACTTGAATACTGGGCTGTATCTAACAAAATGAAATTCAATGATGAGAAAAGTAAAGTTATACACTTAGGCAATAACCAAATACACAAATATAGAATAGATGGTATCTGGTTCAATAGTAGTAACTGTGAGAAGTATCTTAGGCATCCTAATGAACAATCACTTAAATATGAGCCAGCAACGTATGGCACCATAAAAAAACCTAACACAGTTCTAGATTGCATTAACAGAGAGATAGACTCAATATCAAATGAAGTGTCTCTAGTACTTTATAATGTCTTGGTAGAACCACACTTGGAATGTTGAATCCAGTTTTGCTCACCACAATATAAAAAAAGATGACGAGATTCTAGAAAGAGTGAATGAAGAGCAATAAAGGTTAGGGAACTGGAGACTAAAACATATGATGAATTATTGCAGGTGGCACACTGAGCCATTTTTGAGGGCACACAAGGTGTTGTCCTGTCAGCTTCAGTACGCATCTGTGTGCTGGCCAGCTGATTTTTGGCCATTTTTCACCCTCTGGTGGCTTCCCTGAATGACTTGACTTCAGATGATGTGGGTGCCCCATTACCAAAGGTTTTTAAGAAGAGATTGGATAACCATTTGTCTGAAATTGTATAGGGCAGTGGCCCCCAATTTTGGGGGCACCGGTTCTGTGGAAACTGGAGTGGGTGTGGTTCTGTGTTCTGCCTGCATCCCATGGACGGGGCTTGGCTTGTTTATATGGCTAGGTTTCTTGTATGCCACGGACTGATGCTGGCTGAGTAGGAGGTTGGACTAGAAGTTCTCAAAGGTCCCTTCCAACTCTGTTATTCTGCTTTCTTTGGGGTAATTCCACTCAGTAGTTCCACTTTGGGATTAATTCCACCTTTCCATGTAAAAAGGAAGAGGCTGAATTTTAGGTTCATGGATCTCTTATTCCTATTCAATCTATTCAATCTATTTAACCTAGTCTTATTTAACATCTACCAGAGTTTATAGGGGGAGGTTATCCAATGGCATGGAGTCAGATATTATCAGTATGTTGATTTGTACATTTGTATATTTTGTACATCTTGATCCCTGGCCATCCAAGCAATGCTATCAATGTTCTATCCCAGTACCTGGAGATTGTTAGGATGTAGGCGGGTTACCAAACGTAGGTTTAACCCTACCCAGGCCATTTTGATTTTTCACAGACCCCACTGAGCACAATCAGAAATCCTCTGTATTCTTGCTCAAACATACCTTCTTCTATCTCCAAAAGGCATAGGATTCTTTGGAGCATTTATTTTTTTAAAAAGTATTATTTCTTATTTTGGAAAGCAGAGTACATTTCTTGTAAAATATAAACTATTTTGAGAATTCATTCATTTGTTGATTCATTCATTCTATTTCTATAGCTGCTCACCTCAGTCAATGATTCTGAATGAGTCAATGAATTACCAAAGTCCTTAATGATAGTCTCTGAAGTGGCCATGATGCTTCAGGTTTGTCAAATAATATTCAAGTAATGAATATATTATAATTGCTAATAATGAATAAGTTATAATTGCTCATGACTAGGAATAGCAGGTTGGAGAGTGCATAGCAAGTAAGTGAATAACCAATGAATTTGTTTTCCACAGATACTCACCCAATGTGGTTTGTTCTCAGGGATATCTCTAACTCCCGAAGAATCTGGGTAGATTCTTGAACTCGTCTCTTAAACTGGATAAAGAAAGCAGAGCAAATTAAAATCCCATAGAAATTACAAATCTGGCATATGTTTATCTATCTGTGACTTACACATTATACAATGAAAAAGTATCTACACGTCAATGGGAAATAATATAGAAAGCACTAGGAATTTCAGATTGTGAGTGTGCCTTGCAATCAATAGTGAATTACAAACCAGTTCTTTTGCTGGTTGCATTTTCATATTGATTGCAGGAAGTCTGTGTTATGAGCAAAGAAAAATCATACACCCAGAGAGCAAGTGATAAAAGTACCCAATATAAAAGGATCTGTTCAAATAAAGCCTATGGATCAAATTTAATAACTAAGACTATAGGAACTGTGAGTTTCTGGCAGGTATATGAGTAATTCAAAACTGATAATTTTTATTAATGAAATGTGAATCTTTTAAGAGTCAAGCTTTTTCATAGAAAAATGCAGGTGTGTGACATCAGTTAAGAGAGTGATACCAATCTAACTCCTCAACCTAAGGCTGTCTGGGCATTTTCTATTTTACTCATAACACAACGATTCCTGAAAATTACACCTCCATGTTTCTAGTCAGACTCAGAAAGAAATATTGTGCATGCCAGTCTATATTTTTTATTAGATGCACAGGTGTTGCTATAGACCACTTAGAAAATGTAAGTATGCTTCCCCCAACCCCTCACCCTATCAGGCCTGTAGCATAACTTGCTCTGTGTAAAGGATCCTGTGACTTCATTTCTTTTTCAGTAATGTTCATTGTATTTTATCTACAATTGCTTTCATTGTTCTCAAACTAATGAAGGATTCTTACTCTGAAATACAAATAGCTGCAGTAAATAAAAAATAATTTTGTAACTGCGTGCAGAATAGCAATTTCTACTCATTCAGGAAATAAAATAAAAAATATTTTAAAAAATTAGTATTTGCCTGCTGAACATTTTTGTTTGGTTGTTTTTTGCTCCATTTTTCCTAAAAGCAAAATCAGGGAAGAAAACTATGATACAGACAAAGGTTCCGCTCGCACATATGTGCTTGTTGTTCCTGACTCTAGGGGCCAGTGCTCATCGCCATTTCAAAGCTGAAGAGCCAGCACTGTCCGATGACATCTCTGTGGTCATGTGGTTGACATGACTAAATGCCAAAGGTGCACAGAACGCTGTTACCTTCCTACCAAAGGTGGTCCCTATTTTTCTACTTGCATTTTTACATGTTTTCGAACTGCTAGGTTGGCAGAAGCTGGGACAAATAATGGGAGCTCACTCCATTATGTGGCACTAAGGATTCGAACCGCTGAACTGCTGATTTTTCTGATCTACAAGCTCAGTGTTTTAGCCACTGAGACACCACTGCTAATGGTTTGTCAGCAAAAGGATATCTTTCTTACTTTTACTGTATGTAAAACTAGACAGATTGTGTCTCATGAAGCCATCTTTTCAGAGATGTTTCCTTACTATATTTCCCAATTGTGACAGGATGTCTAATTACTGCTTTTACTGGAAAAAGCTGGGATACATTCAGAGATGTATCTGCCTGGAAAATAGCCCATGCTGAATTGTATAGTACAGTCAAACATCACTGCAGGAAATTTTTAATGATATTTTGTATTATGCCATAAAACATTTTATGATTATTTTTATGTCGTAAAATGCTTTATACAGTTTGCCGCATTTGAAATCCACAGGAGTCATCAGTCCAAGATTTTGGACACATTCTGTAAGTTAGTCCACTTGAGTATATTGGTTCCAAAATTATTGCCTTATGATGCAGCATTTTGCCTAGTTAAAGGTTATGGGAATGAGTATTTTAGACATATATAGATTTCCAACTGAGAGAGAATAGAAAGAACACAGAAGCAATTATCGGAAGGAGAGAATATGAAATTGCCATATTAGCCACAACTTACCTTTCCACTGAATCCACCTGTGTCTAGATAGCTTTTCAGTTTCTGGATATAGGCAGATGGTGGGTTTTTGACCTGGAATCGTTCCTACAGACAGGCAGAGCAGAGATGGGGGTAGAAGAGGAGAAACAACACACATTTTTTCCATTAAATCCATGATTAATAGAGAGGGTTCTGAAAATGCAAACATGTTATGAGGGCAGGCAAGTTAGGTATCACTTTTTTATCTCTTTTTGTAGATGTTGAGGACACTATTGTTAAATTTGACCAAAATTACAAATATTTCAGGTGCTTCTGAGTCCGGGCACTAGCAGCCTTTAGCTGCCAGTCATAGATATTTATGAATCATGCTAAGCTGCAAAAGGGTGAGAGAGAGAGACACAAAAAGAAAAAAATATAAATCAATATTCAAGGCCTTTATGATATATTCAGGCCTGTTAAAGTTTAGGAAACTCCCAATTTTACAGCCCAGTCATTACAGGAGTTCCCAACTTATGAAAACTGAGCCCAAAATTTCCATTGCTAAGAAACACAGTATTAAATGAGCTTTGTCATATTTTACTACCTTTCTTGCCACAATTATTAAGTGAATCACTGTAGTTGTTAAGTTAGTAATGTGATTGTTAAGTAAATCTGCCTTCCCCATTGACTTCACTTGTCATAGGTCACAAAAGATGATCACATGACCCCAGGACACTGCAGTCATCAAAAATACGAGTCAGTTTCCAAGCATCTGAATTTTGATCAGGAAACTATGAAGATGCTGCAAAAAGGTCATAAGTCACCTTTTTTCAGTGCTGTGGAGGCTTTGAATGGCCATTAAACAAACTGTTGTAAGTTGAGGACCACCTGTTCCTATCACACCAGGGCTTCTATCACAACAAAACCCATCTCTTCAAACACTTTAGCCTGCAAAGTGTATACTTTGAAATGTTTGCTTACAAAGTTCTATAGTTTTCACCCCACTCCGGTCATTGTAAACTGTAAACTTTAAAGAATCAGTGGGATCTGTAAAAATAAGTTGTAGATAATCCTTTCCTTCTTAAATGCAGAACTCAGATCATTTAGTCCACTGTAAGTCATGCCTGCTTCTTTTTCCCATAACAACTGCATTGCATCACCCTGTGCCACAATGTGACACAATGTTTCACAAGAGTGATTGTGTGCTGCCTCCTGTTCTTACTTTCTGAAGCATGTGAAACATTTGCTTCAAAAGAGTCTGCAATAATTAAAGGATACATTGTTAAAATGGTACCAGTTTAAAACTTGGATGTGTAATTGAATGAAAGCGTTTAAAAAAATAGACTAAGGCAGGAGTGTCCTCAGACTATGGTAAATTCTTTTACTTTATTGTAGCAGTCACCATTTTTGGGGGGGAGGGGGGTTGACCACTCCTTGTAGACATCTCTGGAGAGTTCACGAAAAAATGAGAGTTAACAAGGAGATGTGTATGTGTACATGCATGTAAAAAAACAAAAGGAAAACATAGTTTTTGTATAAGTCTGCGGGCTAATGCTTCCTTGGATGATGTGCTTGGCAAAGAATTTTTAATTCTATGTATTTCTGATAGTTTTGCAGAGTCTAAGTTTATAACAGGGGTGTCAAACTCATGTTGTCATGGTGATGTCACATGATATATTGGGACTTCCCCCCCCCCCTTCGCTAAATCAGGTGTGGATGTGGCCAGCACATGACACATCTGGGCCATGGGCTGGGAGTTTGACAGCCTTGGTCTAAAACACTGGCCTGCAAAAAATCGTGTCTTGTCTTTTATAGCCTGGGATCTGAGGTCTAGGAGATATGAAAAATTCAAAAACTCAGCTGCTTCCATCTGTAAAAGTGGGGGTGCTGCTTTCAGCCTGCCTGTTTGAATCCATAAAAGAACCACTTTTCCTTACAAGCAGAAGATCCCGAGATGGTAATGTCAGGGCAGAAAATAATTTTACAATTGTGGTGGATACAGGTACTCCTCAACTAACAATCATTTGTTTAGAAGCTGTTCAAAATTACAACAGCACTGAAAAAAGTGACTTATGACCATTTTTTCACACTTCCGACCATTGCTACATCCCCATGTGATCAAATTTCAGAGGCTTGACAATGGCCATGTATTCGAGGTAGTTGCAGTGTCCCAGGATCATGTGATCTTTTTGCAACCTTCTGACAAGCGAAGTCAGTGGGGAGTCAGATTCAATTAACAACTGTGTTACTAACTTTACAGCTGCTGTGATTCACTTAACAACTGTGCCAAGAAAGTCTGTAAAATTAGGCAAAACGTAACAACCATCTTGCTTAGCAATGGGAATTTTGGGCTCAGTTGTGGTCATAAGTCAAGGGTGACCTGTAATTAGAAGCTGTTCGTACATCCTCAACATGTTTTATATAATTATTATCTACCCCTTGATGTAAATGCTTTGATTCATGGCAGAGCTGCTGCCCCTTTGTATATTTGTTCCATTTTTCTGTGAGCTACAGTCTTGTATCCATTGCCATTTTTCATTAGAATTTCATTAACGCAACAGCATAATTAGCACAAGGCTGCCTAGTGGAGTTATGCATAGCACACTGTTGTTGTTCAGTCACTAAGTTGTATCCAACTTTTCCCATGGACCACAGCATGCCAGGCTCCTCTATACGCCACTATTTGCCCCTATTCATTGCATCAATGAATACCAGATCCTAAGCTTAATTTGAAGCAGAACACAGGGATTAGTTATTTAATGGTTTAACTGATCTGTAAACCTTAGTAATCCAGTTAGGACTCAGTATGTTTTCACTCAGCAACAAGTGATTGAGTTAAATGTTCTGTGTGAAGAGTTATACAGGCGCCATTTGTGTCTTTCCAATCAAAGATCAACAGGAACATCTATATTACCCACATTGCCACTTCCTATATGATTCATGCTAAATGAAAGGCCAAGCTTTTTTTGGCCCATCACTCACTCAGCTGTATTTGTTGTGAGCTAAAGCAGACACGAATAAATTCCACTTCACAAGGATCCTGTGACCTGATATCATTCAAACACAGAACAGTGGGTGGCATATTTTCTTGGTTCCTAAATGCTCACTCAAAGAACACCTTAGGATTCCTCTCTGAAATAAAGGACATTAGGAAACCACCTTGTCCCAGAGCTGCTTTAGCAGATCTGTGAAGAGCTGGATCACAGAGATATTCACATAACCCAGAATGAGTCATTCTTCTCTTTTTCTCTTCGGCATCATTCGCAAGCCTGTGCCTTTATTAAACTGAGGAATATATAGTTTCACAGCATGAACAGGTGCCATTTCCCCCATGTGTCTCTGCCAACAGCTTGTTTTCACAAGGGAACCTTAAGTAACCACCTTCCTTGTTTAACTCAGGATGGAGAAAGATTGTTTCTCCATCACTACTAAACTCATGAAGGCAACGGAAAAGAAGGAACAGCTGTTTGTTATGACACAGCACACTTTCATATGTACCCATTTAACCTTGGCAGGATTTTGAAGTGTTTCAACCAAGGTGATAGTGGATTTTTTTTTGGCTAGGTTCATATCACAGAGTGGCTTCTTTAGTTTTGGCTTAGCAGAAAGTGTAAACCTCACAAACAACGGTTTAGACAAAGAAACCAGTTTGACACTAAATGAGTCCAGTGAAAAAATGCTTCTTTTGATGCCACTTTTGATTCATCTGGGTAGGTACAAAACAGACCTAAAAGCAAGTGTTACCCCTCCCCACATTCACAGGGGCCCAGTTTTTCCTACCATGTAGTAAACCTGGTTTAATGCTCCGAAAAACAGATGTGCTTCCTTTTAACCCAAATGCAATGCAGTGAGATTTGACTGAGAGGCTGCAATCTGCCTAGCAGATCTCCTGAATTTACACTTTTGGCCTTATTCAAACAGCTAATGAAAGCATCTACTCAGGGATAAAATCATGCCTATTGCTTCTATCCAAAATAAATTTCTGTGAACATCTGAAGGAAAAATTGGCATTCATAGAAAATTAGACACTTGTGAAGAGCAAGATAGTGTACATGGCGAATGCAACCCTAATCTCATAAATTGGTCTTTTGAGTATATTATATTTCTCAGAACCTAAGCTACTTGTATTAGGGCATCAATTCTGAACTTCTGGATGATGTTTGCAATCCTGTCACAGACCTACTTAAGGTATTTTCTTTTCCTCTAACAGTTTCCGGTGGGAAAGTAAAGATAGAAATAGCCTTGTTTATCCAGTCTTCTCAAGGACAAACCACACTAGACTTCTAATTACACTGAACTGCCACAGGTGTCCTATCAGGGATCCCTGACATTTATCATGTTAGGTCAAAGCTAAAAGGAACATGATTATAATACTATCCACAAACACCAAAATGCTTGTGGAATATCTTTCGGTGTCTATAAACTCTCTACGCAAACCTATTTTTTTAGACCCTTTATTTAAAAAATAAATTAATAGGAAGATATTAAGTTGCAAAACAAAGCTATAGACTTTCATATAACCCTTTGTTTGGAAAAACACCTTTACCTATTAAGAAAACAGCACCCCACAAAGATAAATTTAGGGGGGCTCAGGCAACTGCAAGAAACAAATTCACCACTTTTCTTTTCAATAAATAGGCATTTTGCTATTGGTCCTCCCCTTTACAATATAGGCCCAGAATACTTTAGAAGATTGCTTGCTTGTCATGATCACCAACCACAAAAACTACAACTCTCAGAATTCTCAGACGTATGAGGAGCTTTGAAGATTAAACCACATTGGAAGCTACTTTAAAATATGATTCATATATGTAGCTACTTTAAATAGAGCACTCTAGACTCTTACCTGGTCACATATTAATTCCCATTTCTTTTCATTATCATACTGGCTCAGAAGCTTCATTTTGTCTGGTGGCAGATTCATTGAATTCTAAATAAAAGAAAGGGGGTGGGGGGTGGGATAAAATATTGTTTATACAAAATAATTGCATAACAAGAATTGTGATACGTTCAATCATGCAAAGTTTTTCATGCAGGTAGTCCTCGACTTACGACCACAATTGAGCCCAAAATTTATGTTGCTGACGGAAACATTTGTTAAGTGAGTCTTGCTCCATCTTACAACATTTTTTGCCACAGTTGTTAAGTGGATCAATACAGTTGTTAAGTTAGGGTTAACCTGGTTTCCCCATTAACTTTATTTGTTGGAAGGTTGCAAAAAGTAATCACATGTTCCTGGGACACTGACATAAATACGAGCCAGGTGCCAGACATCTGGATTTTGATCATGTGACCAAGGGGATCTTGCAATGTGTAATAATGGTCATAAGTCATTGTAACTTTGAATGGTTGTAGGTTGAGAACTACCTGTAATACTGGAAGAAAAAGGCAAGGCAGCAAGAGAGCAATTTGAAGGTACACGGAGAAGAATTCAGTTGTACAATCATAACTTTCATCTTGATTTTTCCCCCCGTTCCCCAAGATGTCTGCTTTGAGTGTAGAAAGGAACTTATTTGATCCCTTTGTAGTGAGTTGCTCCCACAATCATGGTTTTTCTTCAGTGCTCCCACAACATTTTCATCAAAGTTTTCTATGAAACTATACTTAATTCATTTTCTTTATATTTTACCAGACAATCTTAATGCAGATGCAGACATACTCCATGTTAAGCAATCTTCTGCAGAGGTTCTTTGTTCTGTGTCAGCAGCATCTGATACTTGGGGTGGGGGTGGGGGTGGGGGAAATTCCCCTCCTTATGATTATTTCCTCTAAGAGGTTTTTTTTTTTTTTGTACTTCTGAAAGTGTTAGAATTGGTATTTTCCTCTTCTATATGGATGATGCCATTTTGTGCTTATTATAAGAGGCTCATACCTAAACATCAACTATAGAGAAAAAAAACCAGTTCTGTATAGACCCAGTGATATATAGGAAGGGGCTAGTGGTCGATTGATGGGGAGAATGGAATAATGTAAATGCAGAGGCTGGGGAATCATTTCCAGAAATCATTTTAAGAGCAATTTAAAAAAATCTGGATCCGCTAAATTGTATGATTCGAGTGTACATTTTCCCATTTTTATGTGAGCTTCCCAGAGTCTATAACTGGGACAGCAGTTGTATACTGTGAAATAAATATTATTTGGCAAAGGTCTAAGATGTTGCACATTAATTGTGTCTTTGATTTACAGGTAATATTTTATAAAAAGGTTTCCTACATTCAGCTGGAGGTGCGTTTACAAGATGGCTGGAAACAACCCCAGTATAGTTACATAAACTCTCAACACATAAAGTTCAGGAGCTTCTCCCACTTATTTCTACTGCACTGCAGTATGGAAATTCCATTAAATGGAAATTAAACTTTCCTTGGGATGACCTGCTAAATCTACTAATAGTCACATGGTACACTCAAAAGGCCTGGCTCATTGTACAAAAGGCCTGGCTACCCAAATAATGCTCATATTCATGGACCGCCGTGTTCCTCTTTTGCTTCAACATAAAGAACAAAAAAAAAAAAAGAAGTCTTTGGCTCCTTGTGATTATGCTTGAATGAAATCAGCATGTATTTAGAGGAGATTATCTCAGTGGCAGGAAGTTGCAAGCTGGCTCTGTGTTTGGTTCTTGCAACCATTCTTTCTCAACCCAATCTGTTCTCATTTCCCTTACAACTTGCTGATTGAACCATTCCACGTAGGATGGAAAAACAGGGCCATTGGTCAAAACTGACTGGTGATGATGTGCCAGTTTTCTTAACAATAGAAAAAAACTAATAAAAGTTAATATTTGTAGCTCAGGATCCTTGATGCTCTCTGAGCTTGTGCTAATTAATTGATGATGTTACCTAGTTAGGTTAATGAAACACCTGTAGGAAAGTAACCAGGCTCAGACTGCCCCCCCTCTCCAAAACACTAAATTGAATAAAAACTTTCCTTGATCAATGAGTGACACTATCCATGTGAAAAGATTTTCTTGGCTTCCACTATACAGATTTACCAAATCACCTACTTTGAGTTGCAATTATCTCAAATTATAATTAATTAAACTCCTACTTTAACCTTTTATCTTAGTCCTTTTGTTTGATTTGAGATTGCCTGAATATTGTCTGCAAGTAAAATGAACTATCAAGAGAAAAAAAATGCTGAAAGGTATCAAAATTTCTTCAAGCAGCTAGTGAGATTCAAAAATAAATCCCTTTATCTAGGCCTGCCAATTTTAATTTGCCTAATGAACATATGCTTCACTTAATGATGATTGGCTTAACAATCGCAATTAAAGGTAATAAAATCAGGCATAACTCACTTAGTAATAGAATTTCTGATCCCAACAATGGTTGTAAATTGAGGACTACCTATATACTACCTATATATCATCTTACGAATGTAAAAAAATAATTGAGATCAATAGTAGTATAATAAGATGAAATTAGGCTTATTTGGTCAGAAGTGGCACAGTTTCCTAGACAGTTTAAAGTTTTGCTGTTCCTACTCAAAAAAAAAAAGTATATTATCTCAGAGGTACATATGCCGGGGTGGAGGGGGAGAATATTTTATATTTCATTCATCTAGAGCAGGGATCTCCAACCTTGGCAACTTTAAGATTTGTAGACTTCAACTCCCAGAGTTCCTCAGCCAGCTTTGCTACCTGAGGAACTCTGGGAGTTGAAGTCACGAAGTCTTAAGTTGCCAAGGTTGGAGACCCCTGATCCAGAGGATCAGCTAATGATAAACAATTAGAATTTTATGTAACTGGGACATGAACCTATGTATGTCATCAAAAATCTTCAAAAGTTAATTCCAAGAGATCTTCAGCTCCTCCTCCTCCTCCTTTCCCACTATAAATTCTGTCCAGTGATCAACTGTTTTTCTCCTTTTCCCATTCTCTCCCCAAGCGTTAATGCCCACAGCACATTTCTTGGAAATGGTAATCCAAGTTGAGGAAAGGCATTGCCACCAATGGCCAATTTGGATGACTCATTCAGAAAGGGGTTGGGATGGCTGGGATGGAAGGCTGATGAGGTTTCCAAGAGCAGCATTCCATTTCCCATGGCAAAAGTCACCCCGCTGAAGGACCGAACTTCATTTTGACCTGAAAACCAACTTTAAACCAGCAGAGATGAATATATTATATTTTTAAAAAAACTTTCTTTAAAATGCTTAAAAATCAGTCAATATTCACTTGAGCCTCTTGCCCAGATCTCCTCTTCACAGCAGCATTTTTCAATCTCAGCAGCTTTAAGACAAGTGAACTTCATTTAGGAGAACTACGGGGTATTCCTCAATTTATGATCACAACAGAGTCCAAAATTTCCATTGCTAAGCAAGACCATTATTGAATGACTAGTGCTCCACTTTACAACAATTTTCCCACAGTTGTCGAATGAATCACTGCAGGCATTATTGAATTATTTGGTTGTTAAGTGAATCTGGCTTCCTCGATTGGCTTTGCTTGCCCGAAACCAGCTGGGGAGGTTACAATTGGTGATCCCATGATCCTGGGACAGCGCAAATTTTTTTGATCACATGCCCAATGGAGATGGGATGACTATAAATGTGAAAAACAATCATAAGTCTTTTTTTTTTCCAGTGCCATTGCAACTTTGAATGACCCTTAAACGAATGGTTGTAAATTAAGGACCATCTCTACTGCTTTACAAAATGCTCTGTGTTGGACTCATTATGAATCTAGATCCAACCCAATGAGTGAAGAGATGGGCTCACATATTGTGCTAAGCCACAATATGGTTGGTTTTGTTTTGGCTTAGTGCAGTTTAAGTTTCAAGCACCGTAGTTTAAAAACCATGGTTTATGTTTAGAGTGGGAAGGCAGATCCTAGTCCTAATATCGTGCCTTGACCTGAGCAATTAAAAAATTGAAATATAGTAACAATTCAGAGGTGATATTCAGCAGGTTCTGACAGTTCTGAAGAAATTTTGAATAGTTCAGAGAACTAGTAAATACCACCTCTGTCTGACCCTGCCTCCCTTTATTCTCTACCTCCTGAGTCCCAGCTGATCGGGAGGAAATGGAGATTTTACAGTATTCTTCTCCTGGAGTGGGGAGGGAATGGAAATTTCATAGTAACCGTCCCCTGGAGTGGGGAGGGAATGGAGCAATTGTGGGTTCCGGTATGGTGCAACAGGACCGGGCATCCACCACATGAACGTACACAGCACACACACACATGTGCAGCACGTGCATGCATACTTATTGCCCACAATGCTCCCCGACGCCTCCGCTATGCTCCAGCTGCTCGGCGGAGCATTGCACAGGCGCCATACGCTCTGTGTGCATGCACAGAGGACCTGAAAACCTCAAATGCTGGTAAGGAGGGCGGGCGGGCCCTCCTGAGCACTGTATTGGAATGGTACCTGGTGCTCTAGGCAGGCACGGGTTGTAACCCACCATTGGGATGGAAATTTTGCAGTAAACTTTCACTGCCACGCCCACCAAGCCATGCTCACCAAGCCATGGCCACAGAACCGGTAGTAAAAAGATTTGAATCCCACCACTGGAAAAATTGATACATTTTAGCAGTACAAATTCAGAGAGGGTTAAAAACATAACGAAACATTCCAAATAAATGCATTCAGAAAGAAACAAAGGTCTTAAATTAATAAGCCTTGAATTATTGGGGAATGCTCCATAATGGCCTCATAGATGAATCTAATACTCCTCTTTCTAATTTTCAAAATTTCTTGGATATTAGGAATATGTGATTTTGAGACTCTATGGGAATTTACATCTTAGTTGTTATTAATAGCAGCCACATTGAAAGAAGCTGATGGCATTCAAATTACCAGGCAATCACAAAAACTGTCATAATATAGAAATTAATAGGTTTCCTCTATCTGATATGAAAAGGAAGAATTCCAGCTCTTTTCAGAGGAAACTCATAGCAAGAAAACATATAAGGCGTCATCATTGTGTTGATGTTCA